ACATTTCATAATAAGTTCTTTAAACTTTATAAATAGTAGAACCTGACAAATGATCTAATTGCCCTAGAAATGAATCATCGGGGCAATTTGAATCTACCTTATAATGGTATAAAAGATGGACAGGAGGAAGCCCAGGGTGCCAGGGAAACAAATGGCAGTTTGAATGACTGAGTTCTTCACTGACGTTTTCCTTCAGGTCTCCTTCCTTAACCACAGTTCACCATGACTAACATGATTCACCTTGGAAACCAGCTCTGTACTCAGACCAAGGGTTGGCAGTGACAGCTTGATTAAGTTTTCCACTGAAACTAGTGCTCATTGTCCCCTTTTGACTGAAACTAACCAGAACATCCACAGAAATCAGAACATGATTCCTGAATCACAGCATCTTTCTGAATGGAGAGGAACATGCATAGCCCTCTAAGGACCATTCAGCAAACAGCAAAAAGACCGAATGTGTTTTCAGCTCTGAAATCAAGTTAATGTATCCTTTAAATATTAAAATGGCAAATATATGAGTTGTTAGGTTTTATAACTTTTATTTATATGCACTTTTTGTTGGAACTGCCTTCCTCAAACATGTTTTAAAAATGCAAAATTTTATCTCTGAAATTAGCATTAGGAAATACATAAATGAAAATGTTTATTCTCATCTTAATCCCAGATAATATTTATATCCTTCAAAGACATTCCTTTGCCACCCTTCTTCTGAAATCTTTCCTCGATTTAGATTTAAGGACACTTAAAGTGTAGGATGTCAAACGCTTGAACAATTCTTTAAACGATTCAGAGGCAGAACAGGAAGGTGTGTGCTCTTGCACAGCAACTGCTTCAGCACACGTCTCACCGATGTGTTTCGTCCTTGGACCATGTGCAGAGTTCTCCAGCATTTTCTTGACATGACAACATCGATCGGTCTTCACTTGTGTAGCACAAGGATTTTACTAGGCAAATGGGTTTTAGGTTAGAGTATATTTTAATAACAGTAAATCCCTCTGTGATACACATTTGTTCAAGACTGATTCTTCACCGACCCTTTTCTCTCTTCTTAATGATATTTTTAAAAGAAGCAACACAGTTAAGGTTCTATAAAATTAAGAATTGAGAAACTAATTTATTTCAATGAGATCACCACCGAGGCATGCTAATGCTTATATTAAAGAGTTATTATTTGTGTCACTGGAAACATTCTTCTTTTGGTTCTGCAGCATCTTTAGTCTCGTTTAATGTTTAATAAATCAGCTGCAATAGGTCATGTTATGCCAGAAGTACAGTAGTTGTAGATGTGCATTAAGTGCTCAGTACGGTAATTTAAAATTCCTCCAAAATAAGCTTAAAAATAAGAAAAAAAATCATTAAAATGATCATTTGAATTATTTCAAACATTAAGTATGACCTGATTTTAAAATAAAACAAAGGAATTAAAAATGAGGGTAGCTGGCAGTTTCTAAACAAAATGTCCACGTATACATCCCCCACATGCTTGACTTTCCTGTAACCACAGACGCCACGTCAGTCACGGCCACAGCAGTCAGGGTGCCGACAGCCTCGGAACAGCAGGCTGGCCTTTGCCCGGAGCCTGTGCGCATGTGCCCTCAGACAGGCAGGACACCTTTGCTTTCTTCTCTCTCTTGTTTCTCTGTTTTCTTATGACAGTTTCCTTCTGGCCTATCCAGACACTTTACCCTGGGGCCCCAAATAGATTTTTTTCAACTGGTAGAAATTTTGACTAAAAGCCACTCTGCTATTTCTGTGCCATAATGGTACGTGAATAAAGAGGTGCAATTCAGTATTTAATGGTTCAAGTTTCAAATGTGTTTCTCAGTGTGAACAGCTTCTTAGGTCTCCCTCCAGGGTGAGATAGGGCTCTGTGTGCACGATAGCCTCTTTTTGGCCTCCAGATCCACTGACTGTGTCTTTGACCTTGGCCTCTCAGTGCCGAGACACGAGCTCGCTCTCTCTCCAGCTCCATGTGGATTCTGCCTCTGGGGGCACTCACAGATCGGGGTGGGAGGAGGAGAGCTGTGTGTCTGTCCCCTGACTTCATCCCCTTGTGCCCTGTCTAACGGGGTTCCTGGGGGAGGCTGCCCAACAAAGCCAGCCCAGGCTGTGCGCCCTTGCCTGTCAGCCCTGGCCACCTGCCCCATCGCCTGTCCAGGGCCTCGCTTCCCCTCGGTTTCCCTGGGTCTGCCTTCCCCACTCTGGTGAGGAGTCTCTTCAGTCGCTCCCCCAAGCCTCCTGGCCGTGTCACCTGCCTCATGGTAGGACCCTAGCTGATACACCTTGTATTAAAGTAGGTGAAGTTAGTGTGTTTTACGGGGCTCCATTTCTTCATTTTTCTCTCACTTTAAAGAGTTTGTAGGTATGTGAGAGGCTGGAATGAGGTGAACAGCAGGGTAGAGATTTCAGGGACTGAATCTTACATTCCTGGCTCCTTGTAGAAATTGAGCTGGCCATTCAGGCTCTTGAATTCTAGATATTCACACAAACAGGAATTGTAATACTACATGAGAATTCATTCTTTGCATTAATCTTCATGGTCTGCCTGAAAGCTTCTATAAGGGGTCCCTTCAGTTCTTCCTCCATCTGCTGCTGCTTTTCTTCCAAGAGGACATCGTACCCTGGGCAAGTTGCCCTTACAGAGCACGTGGAACAGGGTGGGAACGGCGGGCAGGCAGTGTGCAGAGCTGGGGCTGCCTCTGCCCATCTCTTACCCCGCCTGAAACCCTGCAAGGGGTGTCATGTCTCTTCCCTCTGTGATGTTTGGTGGCTCTGTGATCTTGTGATGTGGGAGAACTGTAAAATGGGGTGGCCCTGGGCAGCACACATGCACTCTGAAGAGAGGTGCTCACTTTGAGGTCATTCTGGGTACACACTAGTGATGTGGGGGAGCATGGTGGGTGGTGTCAGGGAGAATGGAGAGGGAAGGGGGAGGAGGCAGGGAGGGAGAGAGCTGCCTTGTCATAAAGCCCCTGTAGATGTTAGCAGTTTCACCCTGACATCTGTAACCTCCTACTTCCCCTGTCCCCACCACAGTCACCTGCCACCTGCTGCAGGTACTGCCGTGATGTTCTCCAGACAGCCTCTCCAGAACCTTCCTTGCCCCCACAATTCCACACTTCATCCTCCACGAGCAGGCCTGAGCATCTCTAAAAAGTATACCATGTCACTGCCCTGCTTACAGCTGCCAGTGGCTTACCGCCTGACCTGTGGTTCAGGCTCAGCTCGGCTCGGCTCCGGACGCAGCGCACGCTCTGGCCCACCTCGCCCCTGCATTTCAGCCAGGCCGGCTCCCTGCCCCTCCTCAGACGCACCGCACTGTTTATACATGTCTATGAACCATCTCAATCGTCATGCTTTTTCCTCTTGATCTACTTTTTGGACAAACAAGTAATATGCTCATTTCTTTAGAAGCCCAATTCCAGAAATAAATATTCTTCCTTTAAACTGCAAGGTGTTAGGAAAAGTACCTCATCAAGAACAGGGAATTTCTGGTCACTTTAAGGGTTCTTCACATAGCATCTGTTTTGGGTCACAGGGAAGGTACTAAGTCTCATCAATGGTTTTAAAGTTACCAAGTCTGCCCTGTTAGACATGATGTTCTTTAGACGTGAGTCTTTAGGAAAAGTAAGGTTGTTGAAAAGATCATTGAGGCACATGGGCTAAAGGAATTAGGCTGATGGAAAATAGAGGAAGGAGCCTTGTGAGGGATGAGCATCAAAGACTCGGACCACAGACAAAGTGGGGCGTCCCAGGGAGCACCAATGAACCAGATCCCCGGCCAAAGCGACGGGTAGGTGCTCCTCATGGGCTGCCTGCCCCGGTGGCAACGGGCTGTGGACCCAGGGCAGGGCTGCCACAGAGGGGGTGTCTATGGACCACAAGAGGTAAGGCAGCCTGTAGCAGCCTGTAGCAGCTGTGGACTCCTGCGGCTCACTGGGGTTTAGATCTGAGCTGGAAAAGATAACATCTTCTCACCCGTTACATGGCTTTGTATCTTTCTGGATGATTTGCCTCTTAAAGTTCTTAAATTCACTTCAGAAAAGTTAAAGTACATACATTAAAATTCCTTAAAAACCAGTGTTTAGTGCTGTCATCAAGTGTAGACTTCATGTAGGGTCATTACATGTTTGTAGATAAATCCATTAAAATCACAGGGGATATGTCTGAATTCTTTAAGCAATTTTTATTTTACTTTAAGAGGAAAGATTAAACCAAACCATATTTAGAAAACAAAGTCATACGTGGAACACACAGTTATAAGTGGAAAACCACACAAAGGAAAACTCATTTAAGCGTGGAGGGTGGGGTCTGCGAGGCAAGTGGAAGCTAGGCCTGTCGCTCTCCTGCGCCTGTCCCTCCCCTTCGCCTGTCTCTCCCCTTGGCCTGTCCTCCCCTGTGCCTGTTCTTCCCCTTGGCCCTTGCTTCCCTTGGCTGGTCTCTCCCCTTGGCCTGTCGTTCCCCTTTGCTGCTCAGTGAGGTAGGTGAGCACAGTACGCCTACCTCTGTTCAGCTTGTCTTCTGTCCTTCTACCTTGGAAGTCATTCTGTTTCTTTGTACTTCAGATTTTCCTTACACAAAATGAAAAGATTGGGGTAGAATTTTATTCTTTGATATTTCTTCCCACTCTAAAAATGTCCAAAATTCCATGTAAGTGAAAATTGGGTCCATGGTTGCAAACATATTCCACGGGACTGAGATGGCTACAGATCCATGCCCACATCATACTTGATTTCAGTGGTGACGCTGAGGCGAGAGGAGGGTATGGTGTCCTGTTCATGGGGCCACTGGGCAAGGGGGCTGGTCCTACAGTCAAAGCAACACTGCTCATTAATCCCACTAGTTTTCCTGTCTGCTAGTTTCATCTGCTCTTTAATGCTCTCTTTTCCATCACAAAGTAATGTCTACTGTAAGCTTCACTTCTGAAAATGCAGAAGTCTTTCTAGTCCTTATTATAAATGTACAAATACCTCATTGACCAGTTTCATATTGTGTTCCAGAGACCGTGTCATTGGTTTGATGATGACTGCCTGTGATCTTTGTTCTGTGACAAAACTGTGGCCAGTTACAAAATTGACGGCAAATGATATATATGCAGAATTCTGGGCTGAGGTATGTTCTTGGTTTTTATATGAACAAAGATAATATCAAGAGATGAGAAAAAAATTAGGGGACAAATTAAATATATTGATAATTTAGTAACAATATCTTAGTTGCTCATGTTGCTAGTTACTTCAGAAAACTTGTTGATCGCATAAAATGAAGAACTTAGCATTTATTTATTCAGCTATAAAGTGAAAGCAATCATTCTGTTACATCCTACTTGAGTTCTGATCTCAGCTGAAATAGTTCAGAAACTTTCCCTTAGTTAATAGCCAATCTTTTGTCATCCATTCAATAAATTTACTGGTCATTACTTCATAGTAATCATTGGAAGGAGTATTAAGAGGGGCCACAGTATCATGGGCTGTATATGCTAGAAATTTGAGGGAATAATCATTTTGTATGATAGACATATGAGCTTATGTAAATATACAAAATAGTCAAATCAAGTGCAAATGATAAGTTCTGTAGAACATATGGGGTGTTAATTCATGATATCCCTGACATGTGAAGCAACCATATAACTTAACTTTCATTATACCTTTTCTCAACTGAATTATCTAACTTATCAGAAATTAGTATTTTACTCCTCAATTTGCTATCTCAATTGTCCACGAGTAAGGAGAATGTAATTTTCTTATTTAAATGAATTCACAAATACCTAGGTCTCTGCATATTCAAAGATTACTTTATGAAAAAATATAAAACCTTTGTGTGCCACCTCATTTGAAGAAGTAAAAATAAATTTGGAGGACAAAGAGTTCAGTAGATTCAAACCATAAACACAAAAAATAAAAACCAGCAAATCATTCAGTTAAAGATTTAGTAGAAATGGTTTAAATCTTGAACTGTCTCATAATGGTAAAGCCAGAGAATGTTGCATGAGGAGCCCAGGCCTGAGTCGATCACACTCACGGGGTCACTTCCTCATGCACTGTGTGCACACCCTCTTGTGTGGGTTTTTTTCCTCGTGTTGTGGGTGTGTCAGAATCTAGTGTTTCAGCGTCGATTAGGAGGGCTGTTTAAATGCAAATGCCCAACTTTGTTATAACAGTCAACGTCCCTACACGTGTGTGTCTGAAAGTACATTCTCTAAATATCACCTTGATTACATTCTCTAAATACCACATGAAAAGACGAGACTGAAATTAGCTCTTTGTTTTGCAGTTTTATTTAACTGATGTATTTCCTACTTTAACAACTATATTTGTATTCTAAAATACAAACCAAAATGACAGAAATGTTAGGTAGTGTGTTTTTAGTCCACAAAGATGGGTAAGCTCCCAATATGCTCATAGATGCTGTCTTCAAGGACCACGTGGTCCATGGGAGGAAACAAGTATAGTCACCAAGTGTTGCCATTTCATCTCCAGGTATTCATAAAGTCCACTCTGCTCCCCATCTGCTCTCTCCCTCCTGCCCAGGCCGCCACCAGTTCATGCCTCAATTTGTGCTGCTTTCTGCCTGAATTCTTGTCTTTACATTGAGAATCAGAGTGACAGTAATTAAAGAGTGTGGTCTCTGTGCTCTCTGGTATCGTGTTGCTTGAGCTTAAAATCATGTGTTAGCATTTAGGGTGAAACCTCAGGCTGCTTTTCTGACATGTCTCTGAGCTTCCATTGCCACATTTGCAAGTTAGGAGTGACTTCAATCCTGATGACATTAGTTCCCTGCTTCCAGTCCTGTCTCTCCACTGTCGTGATACCAAAATAGTGAACTTGAACTACAGAGCCCGCTACCTCTCAGCGTCCGTGTCTCAGCCCCTCCGGACTCTCCATTCGGGCTTTCTCGTCGCCATCCAGGTCTTCGTCCCACGCAGTGGCATCTGCCCCAGGCACACTCCTTCTCCTCTGCAACCCCGGCCTCTTCCAGCCTCCCTGCTGCACACCTGCCATAGGACCCAGCTGGTGCCCTTTTTAGCATTTATCGTTATTCATGAGTACATACTCAAAGCACTGTTAATTCAAACTTTTTTTTACGTACTGCACTTACGAAATCCTCAAGCAAGGGGCCTGGTGGTTAGTTCCATTCCGGACAAAAAGAAAAAGTTTGAGAACCACTGATTTACATATTTAAAGTGATGATACTAGAGCAAAAGGCATGCATGCTTCAAGGGCTTTATGTAGTTGGGCAAGTGCCTTTGTTCTTCACATACATCTAAATGAGGGTTCTAGCAATTTTTATCTAGACCCTCTCTTAGCAAATCTAGGATGTTTTTAGGCCTGTACTTCTGATTTCTGAAAACAAGCATAATCAAAATAATAGAATAATTAAGAAATGTGAGGGAAGAGAGAGTATCAGGGACCAAACAGGCAACGTTAAGGAAGAAGATTTTAACATTTTTTAACAAATGAATAAAAAGTAAGGTAACTTTGAAAAATCTGTGAAATTGGGATAATAATATCTAATGCATCTCATGAAGATGAAATGAAATAATAATTACTAGTTACTTAGGCAGAGCCTGTAACATGGTAAATCTTTAATAAACGTCTGTGACTATCCCCAGTATGGTGATGGAGGCCTTGCTAACGTGTGTTAGCCGACCGCTGCTCGTCCGTGGTCTACAGTATCCCCCCTCCCCAAGCCCAGCTGCACCCAGCCCAACACGTGAAAAATCGCTTAAGAAAGAAACAAGCTTCGTCTGGTCGCTTCTGTCCCTGTTACTGCATCTCCTCCTGTTCTGACTTTTATTAACTCCTGCACCCTGAACCAGGAGTGATGGTGGGGTTTCTGGTAATTCCATACAGGAGAACATCAGGATAAAAACCAAACTATGATATATTAAATTGTTCACTCTTTTGACATTTATTTGGGTCAATAGCCAGAAACATTATTGATTTGGGATAAAATTGGTGAATATAGGGAACAACTCATTAATACCAAATTGTTATAGCTGTTTAAAAGTTGGCAAGCCATGATTTTTTTCTCCTTGTACTTTAGGGGGATGAGATGAAGAAACTGGGGTTACAGCCCATCCCTATGATGGACAGAGACAAGCGGGATGAAGTCCCCCAGGGTCAGGTATGAGCCGTGTTGTCAAGTCAAATGATTCAAGGTGGTTATAGGGCTGTGAAGGAAGGAAAAGCACACGCCCTCTCGTAGAACCAGGAACTACTTGAGATCGTCTTCATTTAGATACAGTTTGGAGATGGGAAGACCAGGATTATTCAGAAACCCCAGTGGATTTAAGGAATTCACAGCTACCCTTGTCCTCACTTTTTTATAAGGATGTAATTGCAGAAAACCAGCTTTTCTGACTTGAAATAGAGGGGATAGGTGAATTTGAATTGTTAATATTTGTAACAAGCAGAAAATATTTTGTTATTGAATGTACAAAGATTTTTTTGAAGAGTAGCATAGATTTTGATTAAGTCCACTTTTTCTCACAATAATGCATAGTATTTTAGTACATTTTGACTTTTGTCTTACCATAAAATGACATTAATTACCCTCTTTCCAGGTCTTATTACACAATTTATGTTAATTCTTTGATGTCTCCGGTGCTATTGTGTCTTGTTAGTTTTATATGTGTGTGATGTATTTCTCAGATTATGGCCTTTTAGAACAATGGTCTTTAAATGTCATAAGGAAGTTAGTTATGGACAAATAATTATAATGCAGAATTTAGTTTAGGAAACATTTCAGAAAATTCATAGGATGATGGTTTGGGATAAGTTCTTAAATTTTCCTACTTTAATTTATTAACTATTAATATGAAGGTGTAGGCAAGTCCCTGTTCTTGACGGGCATAGCAGCACAGGGATCTTCAGGTTTTTCTCACCATGGCGCCTTCCACGGACCCTGCTTGGTGTTCTGAAGGGGTTCCTGTCGCTCCTTGCTCCCTGAGTGTGCCCCTGGCATGCCTGGCATGCTCGTGGTCTGTGCATTTTTCAGTTTAGTTTCTTAACCCCATTTAGGCAATGTCACCATATATGCAGTCACGGTGACCAGTCTTTACTGTCTGGCGTCTGCTCTTCATGCTGAACTGCACAAGTCCCGTACCCCCTTGAGATGATACAAAGATTTTCCTATATTTATTTACTTTTTTTATTTCATCACTTCATATTTGACTTGCTAATTTATTTGGGGCTTGTTCTATAGTTTAAGATGGGGATCTAGTGATATTTTTTCCTTCTAGATAGATACACTGTCATCCCAACAGAATGCCCAGGACAGCTGCAGAGATCCTCAGAGAATGGGCTCTGCCCTAGTGTTATTTAATTAAAAGAATAGTTTTTTGCCAAAATTCCAGATCCATTTGCAGAATGAGAGCTATGAATAAAATATTTCTAAGCAGCATATCTTTTCATAACAATATTGCTTCTGAATTGTGATCACTATGAAATTTTTATTTGCCATAATGGAAAAATACTCTACTTTCCAATAATTAATCCTTTTTCTTGAGATCTTCTGCTCTATGATATCTGCTACATATTAAAATAAGGAAGTCTCTGCATGGGCTGTGAAGTTGCAGGTGGAAGTGCCTAGGCATTATTCTGATAGCAGCACCATGATGGTAGACTTTGCAGCAGAGAAAGCAGAAGGGAACCAAGTTGATTTGATTCTCCCACATCCTTTGTGCATTCTCCTTGAAGTTCAGTTTTTTAAAGAAATTGGTGAGCCGTGGTTTGGGGGACACCTCATCCACGGAGCCAACTTTGTCTCGCCCATGCTTTCACCCGCTTGGCAGTTGCTTACAGCTAGACGGTGCTCCCTGGCTAATCGCCTAGCAGGCCTCTGACAGCCGGCCTCCAGCTGGCCAGTCTGAGCTGGTGCCATTTACTTGCACAGTGGTCCAGAATTCCTAATAAAAAGTTCTTTCTTATATTTTTTAAAGTACCAAGATTAATAACTGTGAAATCTGATGTATTGAGAAAACTGTAACTTGAGGGAACTAAGATAAAGTTGGTAAGATTTCTGGGGCAAAAAGAGAAAATCTCAGGAGAGGAGGGTGGTCCCCAAAGCACAGGGAAACAGACCATCAGAACTTCCGCAGGGACCCTGAAGATCAAGCTGGAGAAGAGTCGCCCCGTAGGAGAAGAGCAGGTTCCGCTATGATGTGTCTACAGCAGGATGTCAAACTCAACCAGAGATAGGAACAGGACTTGAATTATAACTTGACTGACTTATAAGTAGAATCTTACTGAATATTATACTTGGATTTTAGATTAACTTTTTATGTTTTAAATTTTATGTGTTTTATTTCAAGAATGTATTTTAATTCATTTTTTAAAAGCACTCTACAGTAGTATCCAGTAAGCCCAAGTATCACAGAGCAAAACTAGAACATTGAATTTTACACCTATGCTTGAGAAATGGAGTTCTCCTTGCATGCTAACGTGCAGTTCTATTTCCTGTCCGCGGTTTTTGCGCTGAGGCAGCTCGGATTCTACAATGCCGTGGCCATCCCCTGCTACACCACCCTCACCCAGATCTTCCCGCCCACAGAGCCTCTCCTCAAAGCGTGCCGGTACGTACAGCGGGCAGCTGTGAAAAAAAGCTGTGTGTGGTGGTGTGAAAGAAAGGGCTGAGAGTCTGCATGGGGTGTCTCTCCATCGTGTGTTTATGTGTCTTATTCTCTGTTTACAATAAATATAATTTTATGGGCTGTGTGTTTGCCTAGGTAACAAGTATATGTCAAGAGTATTTATTCATAAATTGATTCGGTCACTAAAAAGGAATAAGAAGGCTCGTTTGTTTGTTTTTGTGATACACAGATCCCCGCCCAGGGCTGTTTTTGACAAGACAGGACCATAATGTCTGTTCAGGGCAGCTTGTTTGGAAGGGCGCTTGGGTTAAACCACATGATTTATTGTTTAAATGGAAGGGGAGAAGCTCAAGTGGGATCTTCTTTTCTCTTTAAGTTTTCTTTTCTTCCCAAAAGAAATGGAAGCCTCTTCTGGTTTCAAGCTTCTGGGGCCTTTCTAGCATCTTGTGTGAGGGCTGTGCTCAGCTAAGAACATTGGAATTTTTTTCAGATTTTCATTGTACTCTGAAAGGAAGTTCTTTCTGGGGAAAGCAAAGGGTGATGAGCAGAGCAGCCGTGTGTGTTGATTTCTGCAGGTGATTTGGTGTCAAGGCAATTCTTCTAAGTATGTAACCGGAACCACAGTTGAGGGGTAGAGTGGGTGCCCTGGTAGGGAGGGTGGATGCTTTATTAGTTTTAAGCATTATCAAAAGCCTTTAATGTATTCCCATCCTCTACTATTGAAACTTACTTTATGAACTAATTTTTAAAGAAAAACAAATGAACAAACAAAACCAACAAGAAAGAAGATAAAAATAAATGAGCTGGTTTTTCTTGTTTAATGATGGCTTCTCTTTCCTTTCTGCTCCCGTGGAGGTGAGCCTGATACCAACCATTTTGTTGAGCCCATCACGGCTGCAATCAGTTCCCTAAGATAACAGTTTATACAGAAAAAATAAATACATAATATTCATGTACATATTATAAATAACTTACATAAGGACTGAGCCATGTGGACAGTGTGGAGTGCGAGCTGGGACCCCTGGATGGAGTTGGCACCCCTCCAAAGAGAAATGGGACTGTGAACGGAAACCCAGCGTGTCACGAGGGCTCCTCGGAACAGCCAGGCACCCTTCCCTGTCCAGAGAGCCTCTGCGCCTCCTGCAGAGGGAGGCCTGCTGGGGCCGCGCCGGGACAGTTCAGCCGCCTGCTTCAGAGCACTTGCGTGATCTTGTAAAGGCCTTGTTGATCCTGCTGACACCGAGGAAGTTCATCCCGTGTCATTGGTATCCAAAGAAACACAGCGGCAGTGTTGGTGTATGTCTTTTTTCCAAAGCCAAAAAATCTCTTTAGGTTCCAGGAAGATGACACCTGAGGATGCAGTACATGAGTTACAAGTGTTATTTTTCAGGTTGTATTTTAGGGATTTTTTTTGCTCAAAGGAGCCGTAGGATGCAGGTGCTCTGCATGCATTTTGCTTGCCAGTGCCAGGGTTCCTTTCTGACTTTGTCTTTCTACCTATGAATGCGAGATGCAAGGTGGGAAATGTTGGTGTCTGGTTAGCCATGTAGGGCAAGTTGGTGGACATGGGAGGCGTTATTCATGCCACTGAAGAAGGTGAGATGGTGGCAACTCTTATCCACAGATTTTGAGAGAGAAAGGCCAGAAGAGTTGGGCAGAAACAAGGCTGTCCGAGACCAGAGGTCACCAGAATGCAACACAGACCAGGACATTTTTCTGTAGAAAGGACATCTCAAAAGTTTGCACCACGTGTAACTTATGGTGACTTTTTATATAGGACACTGTTCAGCGTGAGGCGACTTCCCATTTTCAAACGGGATGTGATAAGGGTGTAAGGCCCCTGGGAGGTTCGCCGTTTCCACACCCCTGTGTGAAGCCCTGGGCTTAGGTCTGTGCCCATGTCCCCAGGCTCAGGGCCTGCATGTCCCTGCGTGTTCTTCGACAGCACACCCGACGGCTCGTTCCCCTTTTCAAGTCAGCCCTTCTCACCAGAAAAGAAGTGCTGTGTCCCGAGCCTAGCATCCCCTTTGCTTTTGCCTTCTGGAGCTGGTGGGGCCATGTGCCCTCTGGGCCTGGGCGGCTTGAGCCTCCTGAGGTCACCGGACCACAGGGCCATGCCGGAGCTGCCCCGGGAGCCACCAGGCGCAGTGGGCATGGTGTTCCCAGAGTCAGCAGGGCCCGGAGCTGCGCAGCTCGCAGGCGCCCCGGGACAGTGTGCTCACTGCTGGGGGTCCCAGAGCCCCTCTCATGCTCTCCTGTCCCTGCGTCTCTCCCCAGGAATAACCTCAGCCAGTGGGAGAAGGTGATCCGCGGGGAGGAGAGCGCCCTGTGGATCTCAGCCCAGCCGGCGGCCCCGGGGGCCTCTGAGAAGCTGCCAGTGAAGATGGATGACTGACGCTGACGCAAGCTGCCCCCCGAAGATGCTCGTCTTGCTTTGACTGTTCGTCCTTTTATTTTTGTGGGGGGAGACCTACACCTGGTGCCTGGGATGCAGACCTCTTCAGGAAGGCAACGTCAAGTGAATGTGCTGAGCAGGGGCCTCCCTGCCAGCCTCATTGGTGGCTCAGTACACAGAGGACTACCCCAGGGCGAGAAGCCACCTGCCCAGCAACTCCATTCGACTTGCAAACTGGCCTTTTCTAACGGCTAACATTGCTGAGGCTTTAATTGGAATGGACACAAATTGTTCAGAAGGGGGTACTTTTCCATTGTCTTTCTAGTGAGGGTTTAAAATGGTACTACTATGATATTGTACTTTGACTTCAGCACCAATGTGGCTTTGATGTTACTGGTTATAAATAGGAACCCTTCCACATCCCTATTGTGAATGTCCATGTGTGACCTCTGTGGTTAGTATGAACTGTAGCAGACAGCCTCAGGAGAAACGCCGTCGGGGTCACAGAGTAACGAGCATGTTTCGGCAATCAGTGGCGGAAAACAGCTTCTTGTCTGAGAGCCTCATGAATGAGAAATTAGGTGGACTGATGTGTATTCTTGAAGTTTATACTAAAGGGCTTAGATAAATAAATTTACCACTAAAGGAAGTAGATTTTGTAGCCTTTTGAGAAGAGGTGCAAATATATATCAAAGTAAATCTCAGAACTCCCAAGTATCAATTCAAAAGATGTCAAAGAATATTAAAAAAAATTTTTCTTCATTATAGTCTTGGCAAATTCTCTCAACTCTTTGCGTGAAGAACAAAATAAAAACAAAGCATGTCAACATTTTTTTTTTTTTGCAAATGAGACTTATGGATATAAAAATGTAAATTTTTAATAATGGTTTATGTTTTCCCTGGGTGTCATTTAGACTCACATTCACAATTAAAGATTTGGTCTATGAGTTATTTAATTAATATACCATATATTTATTTCTCTGAATATCAAATTAAACCATAAGTTTAGGTCTTCTTTAGTTCTTGCTTTGACCTGCTGCGTCATCTTCCATTACCCCTTTCTTTGTGTTACTCAGTCATGTCTCAGAAGTTTTCATCCCATGACGGAAAAGAATACAGTTCAGCTGCATTGTAGCTGATTTCTGCTCTCTCTGCTCTGCTTAAGGTCAAATATTTACCTGGAAACCTGGCTTGAAGAGTTTCTTCTGTATAATTTTTGGTATTGTAGACTAATGCTCTGCAATGTAAATGTTTTGAAAAAATATAAATCTGAACCTAAAGTAATAGTCTGAACCCCTTCCTACATGGATGATAAGCCAGTCACCTCTGGTGCCTGTCAATGCTTTAAAGATTTTTGGCACCAGGACACAGTGACTTCTGAAGATGGGGTTGGTGTTGACCTGAACGAAGAAGGAAAGTTCACAAGGCAATAGGCCAGTCCACAGCAACAGTCCGTCCACTGCTCATCTGGCCTGACAGGAGACCAGGCTGTTATGTTTAATAAAATAAGTCTGCGAAATAGGTTTTGTATTCGGTACTGTACACGCTGTTGCTCACATGAGCTTGGTTTTCACAAAACAGAAAATGAAATTGGATGTTTCTACAACATGGTTTATTTCGTAACTCATGTTGTAACAGAGTTAGCTATACATAAACATGGTTCTTATTTTAAAATTAACACTATGTGTTCAATTTCCTTATGGGCTTCTGAGAATTGCCATCTTCCCTCCATGGACCCTCGTTTACTATTGTAATTATACGATACGAAGTAAATGAAATAACTAGAGAGAGAGAAATACCACTGTGGCTAGACACACACACACACACACACCTGCCTATGTGTACATACATACGTATGTATGTAGATATAAACACATCTACAAAAGATAAAAATCAGCCCTATTCTTCAAAGACACTGATTTTTCATGTTGGAAAACACATTGTATGGTAAAGAATTGACTAGAAAATGTCGCTTTTCATGTTAGTGTTTTCATAGAATTGAATTCTAACAGTTGTGTATTTTCTGCACCCAAATTTATGAAAATGGATGCACCAAATTCACCTTTAATCACACAAGTTAATTTAGCCATCTAGTTTAACTTGGAGACTGAATTGTAAGGGTGGAAGAAATACTATTTAAGGTTGTTGTTTAATTAAAAGGATTTTGAAAGAATGTGTGAATTCTGCTTCTGGATACAGCGAATAGTCGGTGGGAGGAGGGAATCCTATGGCTATTCTTGCATCTTAAGGTTGCTATTCAAATAAGATTATTACAGGAAATTTTCTTTTGATATAGCCAGTTGTATTATAGTATGTGACCTGTACTTTGAACAGTTTCTGAAAGAAATCTATATGGATTTAATCGTTGATTGATTTCTTGTGAAATAATGTCATAATAGAAGCCAAGTTTGAACAAAGGACTGTATTCTCATTTAAACTGCTAATACTGCTTTTACCATGTGTAAGGTTTACTTAGGATTCATAGATTTACCTAAAAACAAAAGGGCCTAGGATGAAGTGATATTCAGTAATCTGTTTTGGAAAAAATACAGTTAAGAGTATTTTGTATTTTGGCATATATTTAGCAGACAAACTTCTGGGTTCTGTTCACATCTTTTTCCCAGATCTTTTCTTAAAAGGGCAGATGGTTTTTATCACCAAAACTTTTGATGAGTTTCTCATTAGGGTGGTATTTTATATTGGGCCAATTTTTCTCTATTCAGTATAAGTTTGGTAGCCAGCTGTGAGTGTATGTAGAATGTTCAGTTTGCAGACATTTTTATCACTTGTTCTGATTTCTAATAGACACAGTTTTGATCAAATGCAATTATTCCATTATCTTTCCCATGATAGTGAATATATTTTTAATGAGAAATTTTCTTGGAAATGCATGCCAACTTGAAATACTGAACTTGGGCAGTGGAATAAAATTCCAAAAATGCAAGAATATTAGTAATTAATAGTGACTGATTTAATTAGAAAAACTTAAATACAGTGAATGTGGCAAGTAATTCTCCAAATTGGCCCTTTGATTAGGGCAGGAATTGTGATCCTTTTCCCAGGTTGGTTATTTTGATGAAGAACATGAGAAGCCAGTCTCGGAAGAGAGACTGACCTCGGTGAGACAGTTTTCCTCGCTCTCTGCTTCCCTCTCAGTGGAAAACTTCTGTGCAGATGGTCGCCATTCTGCTTGAAATGACTTGTTCTCACAGCAACAAACACAGAGCTAATTTGACACTAGATATTGTTCAGCGTAGGTTTCCCCTTTTTAGCATGCAATTTAGATAGGTTTGCTTTCTTTTGTTACTTTGTGCAATCAGTCTCCGAACTTTGCTTTACCAAGTGTGTTCACACTAAATATGTTTGCACATGATGCTTGTGGCTGCATAAATCCTTTGCTCCCTGAATTTTTAGCTTTTAGTTTTGAGCAGTATGTTCTTGTCTTTTAACTCAAAATTAAGGTTTGAGCTTTAATAGGACTAAATTATTCCCCATGCCTTGGCCTGTGCCTTTATTTTAGATACTGTAATTTTCTTCTTCATATATTCATGATTTTTCTTCTCTTGCTTAACTATAATTAAAAATATTTAAAGGGTCACGTCCATAGTTAATTATGTCAAGTTGAGTTAGTTGAGGACCATTCTCTCCATCAGATTTCCATCCCTTGATGTCATGCACATATACCCTCATGACTGTGACCAGTAAACTGTTCAGATTCAGTCTTTTTCTGCAAGAAATTTCAGGAACTGTGGCACTGACTATCACGTGATTTTTGTTGGGTTTCAGATACATATGCATGATTTAGATTTTGAAAAACACTTCTTTATATTTCAGACATGTTTGTGTTCTACACTTTGCTGATTTTATTTAGGGTTTAATACTTTAAAAACGTATTTAGTCACATTAGCAGATCCCTTCTCTTGCAAGTAGTCTGATTTTAAAATCACTATAAAATGTCAGTCAGCCAAGTGTACTGTCAGGTTCCGTTTTCCCACGCCTGTCAGTGGCTCACAGCAGTTCCGTTTACCTCTACGTAAGTGTTCATCTGGATGCACATGCTGCCGATTTCTTTAAACACTTAAGTTTAGTGGTACCCAATGAAGTACGTGTGTTTTTTGGTTTTGTCTTATTATTTTTTTACTGGATAATTTGGTTGTCTGAAGCACTAGATCCATGTATGTGTTGATGAAAATAGCAAAAAAGAAAGAAAGTTTCAGTGGTGTTCTGGTTCTAAGTTAAAAAGTTGGGACAAAGAGAAAGACGTTAATGTTTCCCAACAAACATGTCCACACTCTGAAGGGGCATCATTCTCTTTATTCAAACTCTAAGCTTTCCCTTCTCGCCCCCGATGGACAGCGGTGCTGTTCACCTTCCACAGGGTTGGAAGCTCTTTAAGGCAGTGTGAGGAATGCTAACGAAGCACGCCGCTGCTGGGCCACAGATCAGCGTCCCCCGAAGACCCGAAGGACACTTACAGCCCGATCAAGTTTGCCAAGTAGGGGAGTTTGCTTTACACATGTCAGGTGTCAGCTTATATTTTTGAGGTACAGTTATCCTTGCAGAAGTTTAAATGGAAAGTGTTTGTTGCTGTTGTAAGTCAAGTTTTCAAGTGCGTGACCTGCTTCCCTAGTGCTCCCGAAGAGTCACCAGATGGTGTGCATTGCAGCCTTTGTTTTTTCTTTAGTCACCTTAACTCCCAGTCCTACACCGTATCTCACATTGCCTATGTATATGACATATGGGAATATTATTTTGCATACGATCTGCTGTATGATATATATTCTGTGTATTCATTTCATGTGCACATCGAAAGGACAATAGGTTTAACCTGTAGAAGGTATTTCCATACAATGCCCCTACCGAGTCACCAGACCCAGCCCACTGTCTCATTTGAAATAATGTGCTTGCCCAAGACACTGTGAAACAGTTCCTAAATTTGTAGGAAGGTAGCGTCTTGAATCTTTTTGAAAAGAAGGTGACTTTCTTTACAAGTCTGTATGAGCAAAGATTCTGTATCCCTACCTAGCTTAGGTATCTAGAGTGAGCTGTTGATCATTTCCTTGGTGGCCAAAAACAGCTGGAGAACAATACAGGTTATAAGCTATCAAAAACACTGTTCTTAATAACCTGACTCATAGAGTCACTGGATCTCTACCCAAAATTTTAATAGGCTCTCTTTTGGAAGGACAAAGAATTTCAAGTTAACAATATCCAGCTTCATTATAGTTGATGAGTTCGTAAATTTTAAAAACTTATTTTATATGTGTGACATAAAAATCTTTGTAAAATGCACAAGTGCAATAATTTAAAGAGATCTTAACTTTGCATTTATGACTTATAAATATTGTACATGTGTGTAATTTTTTTCATGTATTCATTTGCAGTCTTTGTATTTAAAAGAAAACTTTACTGTTATGTTTGTATAATAGAACAGTAATCATTAAAACCTAGGCAAGTTGTAAATAAATTCATAATTCAAACAGCCAGTATATATGCATATATGGGTATTACATTGCAAAATCTATCTTTGTTTTACTTACATGCTTGGAGCAGCAAGAGACCTTTTGTTGATATGTAATTATACATATAAAGTATATATATGTATGATACATGAAATATATTTAGAGATGTTCATAATTTTGATGGATATCCTTTGGTGTGAATAACTGAATACAGAGTTTTTAAAATACCATTTTTGATGTTTATCATTTGCTGTCTTTTGTGGGGAAGGTAAGAGACATTCTATATGTTGAGTTTGAGCCACGGCATCATAAAAGGTCAATTAGCAAACACCCCAGGCTTGTTTGCGTAGAAGACACCAAGTTCATGAGGAAATGACGGTGGTGTGGTTCTTTCAGCCATTTTTCTAGCAGAAAGCATGAGACAACATAAATTTTAGGAGATGATGTATTAGCCCCACTGTAATTTTAAAAGTGTAAAGACTATTTGGGCAAATTGGTTTTTCAGAACAAGTGCTTCGGATTACAAAGCTAAACTCTGGATGCCGACCTAAGACTCCTGAGTAGCTTTCATGGCTGCCAGGGCCCCAGTAACTAGACTCAGGTGGCTGAGTGCAGGGAGGACTCCGTGGCGCATGCACGGTCAATGTATGCACTGGGGTTCTTCCTGCTGTAGTAAAGAAAGTGTTCCGGGCTAACCCTTCCGTAATCTGTATACGTGATAAGTATACTCATGGCTTTATCTTTACAATTCTGCTTAAAGAAACTGTTTACTTGGCTATCTCTGCTTGCCATCTGGTGGGCAGGCAAACTATAAGTATTTAAGACCAAAAAGTTGAAAGTTCAGCTGTATCCCCAGACCCTCCTTAACCATAAACAGAGCTGAACTTGGGGAGTAAACAAAATAAATGTTTACTGGAATAAAGACCTGTGACACTGTTAATTCCCAGTATCCACAGCCTTGTTCATTACATTAGACCACCGTGTAGAAAGCCCTTCACGTGGACTTCTGCACCATGGAACCCTTGCTAATGGAATGCCCTCTGCCTGCATAGCACTGTATGGCTGTAGACAGGACTTATGTTAAATAATTCATTTCCTATGAAACTGAATGAAATGTTTACTGTGTTAAATTTAATGAGCTAATATATCCATAAACTTATTCTGTAATTCTACTTCCAGACTGGTACTCCATAAGGCTAATGTGCATTTGAATCCTTACAAATTATGCCCATGTCTGATTTTCCCACCAGCTTTTCTGTGGCTCAAGAACTTTGAGGAGAGAAACGTTTCTCCATCCCATCTATGTCCTAAAACAAAGGAACCCTAAAGGGCAACACTTACCGAACTGACATTTATTCCACAAATACTGATTGGGCACCGAATCTGTGGAGGGGTGTAGAGAAGAGAGGTGAGGAGCAAAGGGAAGGACGCAGCATCTCCACAGGCTCCGCGTGGCCTCTTCACGTGGCCAAGGCTGTGGGCAGAGGCAGAGTGCCGGAAGAGACGGAGGGGGGGCACACATGCCCAGGCCCCAAACTCATACTGAACAAGACAATCAACGTGTTTTCCCAAATAATGCACAATGATCAACCGATGCTTTTCTACGAGCAAACTAAGGTGGAGGAAACAGAGGCCAAACCAAAGCGCGTTCCTGGGTCTCTTTCCCTCTGCTTCCTGAGCCCTTTCCTGCCATCAGAAATGAGAAGAGGCC